GCCTGGGCGGGGCCGTCGCCGCCGCCGCCGTGGCCGCCGACAAGTGAGCGTTTTTTTTGTATTCGGCGCCACGACATTTTGCAAAACAATAGATAGAAAAAACGATCAGCAAGGCCGCAGCCGTGGTCGCTGCCGTCGTCGCCCTTGCCGCCGCCGTCGTCGCCGCCGCCCTCGCCGTCGCGCATACGGGAGCCATCATCGGCGTCGTCGTCGCTGCCCGCCGCTGCGCCCCGATCAGGGCCAGCACCCCCTGCGAGGAAGGCCTCTGGAAGAGCGTCCGCGACAAAATCGGACCGGCACGAATCGAGGATCTCTGAGATCCGGCGGATCTGGAGGATGCGCCAGGCTCCGCGGCTTTCTCAGAGATCCGAGGATATTATTGTTTTAATCTTGCGTTTTTTTGCTGGATTTCGGCGTCCAGGGCCCGTTATCGGGTACGGGGGCCATCAAAAAAGGATCTGGGACGAAAAAACACTCCAGTGGAATGGGTCGGGACCTCTGGGGTCGCAGATTGCAAAAATCAGATCGGCGGATGTCTGGGTTTCCAGAGCGCTCCCGAACCCTGGAACGCTCTGAAACGGCATATTTTCCCCCTGACATGTAGAACGCGGCGACAAAGGCAGCGTCGCTGCACATGACATCCGGAACCCTGTAGACCCCCCCTCTCTGCCGCTTGCTTCCCACCAGATCGATCTGGTGTGGCCCCAGGGCCCGACGCAGGGCGAAGTGCCCCGTGTGAGGAATGCAGCGCTCGGATCTCAGGGATATGTCGGCAGTCCTCCTCCTCCTCCTCCTCCTCCTCCTCCTCCTCCTCCTCCTCCTCCTCCTCTTCCTCCTCTTCCTCCCTCCTCCAGTCAGCCCCCTCCCTTTGGCACACCCCTCACAAGCTTCCTGGTGTCCCCCGGGGCCCTCGCCGGGCCGCAGACCGTCAACATCGAGGACCCCGCGTGCAGAGCCGGCTGGGAGACCGCCGCACAGCGCCACGGCCACGCCACGCCGCAGCATCGTGGCGCTGCTTCCCGCACGAGCCCAAGACGGCTGTACCGAGCCTCCTCGGAGGAGCTCGGTCTGAACCACCCTATGCGCATTGCAGACAGGGATCGAGCAGGATCGAAGAGGATCGAGGGGGTCGGGGGGGGGGTCATGGGGGCGAGGATCGAGCAGGATCGAAGAGGATCGAGGAAGCTCGAGGAGCATCGAGGATCGTTCGAGGATCGATCGAGGGTCGAGGAGGGTCGAGCGAGGATTTCCAGGAGGATAGAGGCGAGGGTCGCAATGGGGGCCCTGCGAGGTGGGGCGGGGCCCTCCGGCGAGGCGACGAACGGAGGCCCCAGGTGATGGGCCTGTTTTCCACCACCACCACCAGGAGTCGGAGGGGGAGGGGGTCCTCCTCCTCCTCCTCCTCCTCCTCCTCCTCCTCCCTCCTCCTCGTCCACCTCCTCCGTCCCCCCTCCAACTTATGGTGGTGGTGGAAAACAGGCCCATCACCAGGGCCCGAGCGAGGGGAAAAGTACTCTCGCGGAGAAAGAGCTCTGTTGCATCCTCAAAAAACCTCGTCTGTCCCGTCGCGGCCCTATTCGTGCCGAATCCGTGTCGAATCCGTGTCGGACTCCGTGTCGCATCCGTGTCGAATCTGCGTCGGATCCGCGCCAGATCCGCGTCGACTCCGCATCGAGCCCGCGTCGGGCACAAGGAAAGACACCAATTTTGGGGACAGGCGAGGTCCCCCGGAGATGCAACGTAAAAAAAGGCAACCCGGGGATGGAGTCGACAGCTCGGGAGTCCACGTCGTGCCAATATGTGCCCCACGATATAATACATCTGTACAGGTATCATGCACACATGTGTGCGTGTTGTCTTGTTGATTACAGACGTACATGATAACTGAGACTTCGTTGGCATGTGTACATATATACATATTATGAAGTACGCGGATAAGATGTATTCACGTTCTGACCGTCGCCGTAAGAATTGTTTCCTCGGTTCGGTATATGATCTGGTTGGGACGGCTGTGGCTCGCAGTCGGTTGTGGGCTGCGAGGTCAGAGCTACTGGGGCGTGTCAGGAGACCTCTTGGGGCCTCTTGGAAGCCGTTTGGGGTCTTTGGGGCTATTCGGGGCATCTTGGGGGCGTCTTGGAGCCTCCGGGGGGCGTACTGGCGGTGTCGGAGGCCTCCTGGGGGCGTCGGGCTCGATGAACACGGCCCCTCGATCCGCGAGACCGGCCACGTGATACGAACATTCGCGCAATGCGTACTCTCGAAACTAGCGTGAATTCATGTACGTGTACGTCCTTTTTCGCTCCAGACTTGAAGCGTCTCCGGGCCCTCTTGGGGGCCTCTTGGGCCTTCTTGAGGTGATCTCGGAGGCCTCTTGGGCCGTCTTGAATATTCGATAGACCATATATATTTATATATATACATACATACACATGGATAGATAAAGGCAACAACAAGTAAGTCCAGGACTGGCAATGGGGCTGGGCCTTGCCTGGGTACAATACGGCTTTCTCCATCCCGAGCCATGCAAAGCCGTGCCAGACAAATGCCCTTGCTCTGTACATATCATCGGAGAGCAAGTTTGGATCAAGTGACCGTCACGAGGGATCCCCGACGCAGGGAGGAGAGGGAGGGACGAGAAGGAGAATCAGGAGGACGATGTCGAGAGCGATCAAATTGAGAACGACGAGAGCAACCACAATCACCACGATCACGACGACGATGACGAGAAAGGCGACGACGACGACGACGACGCCGAGGAGGACAACGACGACGACGACGGACGCCGCTGAAGGTCTCCAGAGGTCTCCGGAGGCCTAAGGAGATTCCTGGAGAGCTTTTGAAGGGTCCGGAGGCCCGATCCGCTTCGATAACGATGCTCCAGCGACACGGTGTGGCCCGATGCTTGCACGGCGCTGTTCTGCATCCCTGCGCTTGCACGGAGGCGACCACGACGACGACGACCACGACCACGACGACGACGACGACGACGACGACGACGACGACGACGACGACGACCACGACGGCGGCGGCGGCGGCGGCGACGACGAAAATGACGACGACGATGATGACGACGACGACGACCACGACATCGACGACGGCGACGGCGGCGGCAGCAGCGGCGTCGGCGGCGGCGGCAGCGGCGACGACGACGACGACGACGACGACGACGCGCGCTGCGGCGCCGCAACCCGCCTTGAGGGCCCGCGCGGCGCCGGCGACGCCCCAGCGCGAGCCGCGTCCGGCGCCGGCGAGGGGAGCCCGGGGCGGGCCAACCGCCTGTCAGGTCAGGCCGGCTGGCCCCCGCCGCGGCCGCCGCGGCCGCCGCGGGCGCCGCCGCCGGCGCTGCCGGTGCCGCCGCTCCAGAGATCGCATTGAAAAGTCAAGACGGAGGCTTTTCCATGTGTTCGACGTCTGGAAGCCCTCGCTGGGCCCCGGGTCTGCAAGCAACGACTCAAGATGAGAAGCGGGCCCTGGGGGCAGGGTCGCGTCTTCCGGGGACCCCGTATGGAAAAAGCACGACGTCGGATCTCTGGGGCCGCTGCCGCCGCTGGCGCTGGCGCTGAGGCCGCTGCTGCCGCCGCTGGGCTAGACTGGCACCAGTCACAATCAAGTAAGGATGCACGGTAAGGATGCAAGGGGCTGGCAGGGCCATGCTAACGTTTTTAGAACGAGGCTGCCTAGCGAAAGTCACCATGGATGGGCCGAAGGGACAAGGATGCAGAGGTAGCCTTAGAGAGCCGCTCATCCTGACCATGCGGTCTGACTGTAACTTTGTGTGCACAGCGGAGCTGCCACGGACATCAGTAAGGTCCCTAAGCAGCTTGCGCGCAAGGGTTCTATCGGGTTCCATACTAAAACAAAACGGATAGGCGCGTTGCTGGATCCCGAATCGGCCGGGCGACGTTGGCCTCCAGTGGCCCCCGCTGGCCCACGGAATCTTCGTGCTACTATTAGTCTTCGCAGTACCACAAGTTTTGCTTGCAATTTGAATATCGATGCTAATCGTACTAGGGTTGACCGCAATCTGCTTGCGCCTTGAAAACTTAGGATTCCTCCGGATGTCCAAGGATTCACGAGGATCCCAAGGGATTCCTCTGGATTCCTATGGATTCCTCGGGAGTCAAAAGGATGCCTAAGGATTCGTGAGGATTCTTGGGGGTTCCTCAGGAATACTAAGGATTCCGGCGGGTTCCAAAAGATTCCTGCGGATTGCTGGCAATTCTCATGAATTCCCTCAGGATTCTTATGGATTTCCGCGGAATCCTCTGTATTTCGATTGGTTCCTGACGGTTCCTTAGGGTCTCGTCAGGTTTCCCAAGGATTCCTGCAGATTCATTATTCGGGAATTCTTGGGATTCCGATGGTTTCTGAGGATTCCTTGGGACACTGAGGAAACCTCGGGATTCCGAAGGATAACAAAGGATGACAATTGTTTCCCATGGTTCCCGATGGACTCCTGCAAATCCCATCGGACTCCGAAAGGTTCCTGAGGATCCCTAAAGTTTCCTACAGATTCCGATATGTTCTATAGGATTCCGTTGGTCTCCTCTGGATTACAAAGAATTGCAAAAGACTCTCGTTGGATTCCTCCTGAGGATTCCTATTGGTTTCTGCAGATGCCCAAGGGTCCCCATTAATTTCTAAGGGTTTCAACAAAACCCTTCGCATTCCGAAAGGTGCCTCAAGATTCATACGGGGTCCGATGGATTCCTGAAGATTCATTGGGTTCCTGCGCATTCCGACGGATTCCTGAGGACCCCTCAGTATCCGTGAGGATTTCTAACTGTGCTCAAGAATTCCGAAGACTCCTCTGAATCCCAATGGATTCCTAAGGATCTCAAGAAATCCCCGAGGATTCCGCGGGGTTCCTGCTGATGTTTCTCAAAGTTCCGATGCATCCCTGAAATGTTTCTACAGATCCTCTCATATTCCATCGGATTCCTGAGGATTCCGATGAAATCCTGCGGATTCCTAAAGACTCCTGGCGACGCATTTCAAACCGCCCGCGGGCACAACCGCAACCGCAACCGCAGCCGCAACCAGGCGACACAATTCAACCCGCCCGCGGGCGCAATCGCAACGGCAACCGCAATCAGGCGACATACTTCAGCTCGCCAAGTGGAGGTCCTGCTCGCGGCCGTCGGGCGCTGCCCGCGGATCTGCGCCGAATCCCCATTCCACGCTGCTGCATTTGATTCCATTCGGCTTTTGGAGGACGTTCGCATTTGCTTCTTGTCATCCTTCCGGGGCCCCAGGCAGCTATAGAGGCCTCGAGGATCACCCCAAGAGCGCCCAAGCGGCCTCCAAGATGGCCCCATGACGGCCTAAGAGGCCCCCAAGACGGCCCAAAGACGGTCCACAGACGGCCCAAGAAGCCCCCAAGACGCTCAAGATGGCCGCCAAGATGGCCAAGATGGCCCCGAGAGAGCTCAAGATAGCCGCAAGATGCCTCCAAGACGGCCCAAGATGCAGCCACGACGGCCTAAGATGGCTTCAAGATGGCCCAAGACGGCCCAAGAGGCCCCCAAGCGACCTCCAAGAGGTCCTCCAGGAAGGCCTTAGGATGTCAAACCAATGAGTTGCCTTACATGTTTGAAGGATTGTTGCGTCCGCTCATTCGGCGCTGGGGCGACCCAAGGCAGCCCCAAAGGCGACCAAGATGGCCCCAAGAGGCCCCCAAAAGGCCTCCAAGATACCCCCCTGACGGGGCCCCCCGAGACGACCCCAGAGGCCCATAAGACGGCCCAAGAGAACTCCAAGACGTCCAAGAAAGTTTCCAAGACGGCCCTGAAGCGCCCCAAGAGGGCCCCCAGGAGGCATTCAAAACTGCTCAGGAGGCCTCCGGGATGTCCTTCAGGAGGGCCTCAAGAAGCCAAATACATTGATGTCCTCGGGCTCTTGGAAGATGGTAGCATGTGCTTCTTGTCAGCCGTCCGACGGCCCCAAGCAGCTCACGAGGCCTCCAAGATCACCCCAAGAGCGCCCAAACGGCCTCCAAGATGTCCCCATGACGGCCCAAGAGGCCCCCAAGACGGCCCCAAGAAAGCCCACAGACGGCCCAAGAAGCCCGCAAGACGCTCAAGATGGCCGCCAAGACGGCCAGAATGGCCCCGGGAGGGCCTAAGATAGCCGCAAGATGCATCCACGACGGCCCAAGATGCAGCCACGACGGCCTAAGATGGCTTCAAGATGGCCAAAGACGGCCCAAGAGGCCCCCAAGAGGCCTCCAAGAGGTCCTCCAGGAAGGCCTTACGATGTCAAACTAATGAGTTGCCTTACATGTCCCCTGACAGGGCCCCCAAGACGACCCCAAGAGGGCCATAAGACGGCCAAGGAGAACGCCAAGCCGCCCAATATGGTTTCCAAGACGGCCATGAAGCGCCCCAAGAGGGACCCAAGCCGTCCCAGAGAGGCCCCTCAAGACGGATTCCGACGGCGTCAGGCGGGCGAGGGACGCCCTCAGACGGCCAAAGAACAGCCCTAGGAACCTCGCAAGGTCCCCGAGAGACCAAGGAAAGCCCACAAGAGGCCTCCAAGAGGCCCCCATGAGAGGCTCCCAAGAGGCCTTCTCCTCCATCTTCCCCGCTCTCATCCTCTTCTTCTGTCGCCCACACGTGTTCCCCACAGTGTTTCCACAACGGCTGGGGCAACAGCATGAAATTAGTCCGATAGCTTTGTCTGGCTCTGGCCGCGACATTCGGCCACGTAGGCTCGCTCAACAGGCAGGAGGCGGCGGTGATTCGCCGTGGGCGTCTTCGATATGCATGCCGGGTGCGGGGAGAACCCTGAGGCCAAAAACGCTTCCATTTCTTAGGCCCGCACCTTTTACTTTAGCAGGGACCGACCGTCCCAGCATTCCTAATAGTCATACCACAAAGTGTTCTTAGAACCCAAGAATGTTCTAAGAACAAAAACCAAGTTTTTTAGAACATAAACCCGATGTGATACAACAAGACAGGCTCCGCCAGACATGTTCTAAAAACATTTCGTGGAAACCACAACAGGTTCTTAGAACATTCTTTGGTGGGGCGATAGGCGAGCCAGGACGCTTCGCCGCTGCTTGATTTACTTCCGCCGGCTTCCGCCACCCTTCCGCCGAGCTCCGCCGGCGGAGGCGGCCTCGCTTCACTTCTGCCGCCCTCCGCCGCCCTTCCGCCGCCCCCCGCCCGGGAGGAGATGCCATCCCGTCGATCCTCGAAGGCGAGGGTCTGACTGGAACGCCTCACAGGCAAAAAAAAAAAAAAAACGCTCGCCAGATCTCTTCCCAGATATCCGGCGCTCAATTTGTGTTCGAGGCCGGGACATCCGGAGGCCTGGACAACTTCCCATGTGTAGGGCCCGTCCAGGGCCCCCGGGGGACGAAGATACCCCAAAACTGGCCGCTCCAATTTTTGTCGGGGCCCCGGATCTCTGGGGTCTATAGGTCTGGGGGGGAAGCGCCCGGGATCGAAACAAAAAACGGATCGCCGGAGCTCCTGGGGAGCGTTTCTTTCTTTTTGC